ATATCAATATTAAATACGAAAATAAATTTGATCATATGAAGATTACTTTCCAATTAAATAAATCATCGGCCATTTATTCTGCATGAGTAATAAAATTAAAGTTCACACCTCGTATACGTTACCAATGCTTCAATTCAAACAATTTTTGCTTTCAACATCTCCTAACGTAGTTCTAGTGTCAGCTTCATATTTTTTAAACACTTGCTTTATAGATGTCATTTGAGGTTAAGGTGTGTCGTAAACGTAAAAACACATAGGACTATTTGAAAAAAAAAATACATAAAATAAAATAAATAGTAAAAATAAATAAATAAATCAAAAAAAAAAAAAAAAGAAAAAAAAGAAAAGAAAGAAAAGCAAATTATACAACGTCGTTCCAATATTTCTTCCATATTTTAAAATGATATTATTAATTAAAATATTGCACAATAATTGTTTTTGTATGATGTTAATTTAATAGTATATTTAAAAGTATAAATTAATGTAATCATAGAAAATAGAAAATGTATGTTAGAAAATTATAATAGAAAAGTCAACCGTTTTTAATGTATAAAATTAAATTTTACATCCTTATGAAATCTTATTAAAACAATTATCTCTCTGTCTGTCTCTCTCTCTCTCTCTCTCTCTCTCTCTCTATCTCTCTCTCTCTCTCTCTCTGTTGTGATAACGGGAAATGTAGAGATCGATAAACAATAAGAAGAAGACACAGTAATATGATGTATTAAGAGCTCGGTAGTACATTCGGTTTCAATAAATTATTACATAAGATAAAAATATAAAAAAATTACCTTAGAATAGGTGCAAAAAAAATCATAAAAATAAACGAAACTCCGCAGTAATTTCTGATACCCGGAAACAGTAAGATGGCGCGATTCCAACTTTAGCCAATGACTTCCAACTTTAGCATTTATTTACATAAAGATACGTCTTACTACTAATGGCATTTCAGCATTATATTTTACGTTCCTAATATCGATTGTAATTTTATAAATATTAATAATAAACGTTGTAATAATGATTTTTAGGGTTATTACTATTGCGCAGCGCACTACTTTTGCCTGCGAATGTGTTTGCAATCGGAAGCAGTCGGTACGTGACGTCACAGACACATTGAATATAATAAAAAATTATTTTCAAACCTACGTTGAATCGATACTTTATCGCTCTTTGATATTTTATATCTTGATGAATATTGAAAATGATTATAATAAATGTAAGATTATTATTTATACGAGATACTCTATAATATAATCGTCAAGAAGGTCAATTACTTCGATTTTCAAATATAAATATAAACAATTAAGTAACTGTGCGCGCCGGCGTGTATGTACATTAACTTTTCAACAAACTATATATGTATAATCGGATGAATAATTATTATACGTAGTAATACGAAGGTTTTAACTTACTTAAATATCATTTTGCGTAATTGTGTCATATGTGTACGATTGTCCGTGTATAGACGCGTGCGCGCGCGTGCTATTTATTATGAATAAAATGACATTATTTGTTACTGAAATGAAGATGTGCTTAAATAAACGTGAGTGCGTGTCAATGATCATTATATACGTATCAGCTTTTTTAGCCCGAGGGATCAAGGAATATTGAACGGGAATAGTGCGTTGAATAACATTCTGAAGAATTAAAGAGCTAAATAGAAACTTGTGATATCGTGTAATCAATCATTTTCACTCATCGGTCGTTTAGTCATCTTTATCACAACATTCATTAAATATGCTGGCTACATTAAGGAATTATAGTTTTTCTAATAATAATCAAATATCTAGCTCCATGATATTTTACATAAATATTTTCATTGCTTCGCTTGTATACTCTTCCCAAAATTCATTTAACGTACTGCTCGATTCTTTAAAAATTATTATTACGTCGCGTGTCGAGCATATGGGAGTTCTGGCATATTTTTAGCCGATCGTGCGTAATTTTAGTTTAGAATCAGAGTTTCGTAGAATCGATAAATGATTCGAGCAGCAAAAGCAAGCTGCGCGGAGTTACGAGTTGCACTATTTCATGAATTTCCTAAAGAGAAAGTACCATTCCCCGGCTCGATATCGATCTTTTAATGTCTTAGATGATCTAACAACAAGCTCTTCTATTAGACGCAATGTTAAATTAAAATAAATTTGCTCCTCACTTTAAATCTGTGCGCGCTATTACCAATTTTCCAATTATGCTTGGCGAGCTATTTATTTGGTTATATTGGAATATTTAATAATTCCCGCGGTCCGAGATATTTATACACGGAGTATCTTTATAAAGTTTTCTTGCCATTACCCGGCCAATTCCTTCCTCGCTTCTTCCTCGTCTTATATCGCGTGTTCGGTATTTGCTCATTTTGTTCGTATTTTCTCACACGTTCATCATCACATTCGCTTAAATCCTCATCATTATTGCTATTCGTACAAGTGACAAAAGCACCGAATACTCTCACTATCCAATACGTATATTTGTCGTTAAATATTATTTGTATGTAAGCACGTGGACGTAACAGACCACTAGCGGCTACGTTACTTTAAAAGTCGACGGTGATGTAACACCAACACAGCGATAATGTAAGCGCTCGCTTGGGTATATTGCGGTAGAAAATCAAATAATTACTCCATCATATTGATTTTCTCATGCTGCATACATTAGCCGTAAGCGCAAGGAGACTCTCGCGAATCAATGAATTCGGGCCGAGCGCCCCTTGGATGTCATTAGCATCGCCGCTCAATATCTCTCATTTTGTATCTTTGTTATTTCGATTAAAAAGTACGGCGAGGCTGGGGAATTCCGCATGACGGAGGCAATCCGTGATGTCGAGGTGCCGAGCTATCGGCCCGTGAAATCGCCTTCGTATCAGCAAACGGCGAACGCCGGCTCGCTCGGCTCGCTCGGCTCGCTCGGCTCTGGGAGTCGCGGTCGCGGAGTCGTGGAAGGAGGCGGCGCCGTGGCAAAAAAGGAGATCCCGGCGATGTCTGTCGCGCGGGCGGCCTTCGGAATCGATCGGCGCGTGTTTTGCGCAGTGCGCCCGGCCCTCGGGCCGAGTCGATGTATTGATTAGGGATCGAGTGGCTTGGCGATAAGGAGCCCGAGGTCCGCCGTCAGGTAGAGCAGGTGAGATCGTTAAGGCTGCACTTGGGATCAATGATTCATGCAGCTGTGGTGCGAAATTCTCTCACTGTCGGCGGAAACCTCGCGCCGTCTCGCGTCAATTTATCGGCATTTTGGCGATGGGGTTACGAGCGGTCGGTAAGGCGGGTATCGAATAGTATTGATTGCCGGTAAGCGTTGCGATCAATCGATCGGTCGACCGGTCGGTCGGGCAGACACGTTTTTTTTTGCCGAGCATTTTTCATTGGCAATGGGCCGGCCGATCCACCATACCCCGCCGCAGACGTTGTTCACTTTTTTTTCTTTGGTTTATTGAGATTAATTACAGTTTAGCGTCAGCGAGATCGTTTTGGAACAGATTTTTTATATGGAATCTCGATTACCGAGTGTTATTACATAAATGCAAAGAAAAGCTGATATTACGAATGTTGTTGTTACGAATGTGCAAAATACACTCGTTTACGTTATTTTATTTAATCTTTGTGTATTACATGGTTTTCAAGCTCTAGCTCTTCATTTTTTTCATTTTTATATCGAAGATTCTCCTTCAATTTTGTTTTTGTATGATTCTTTGCCCCCCCCCTCCCCCCTTCCCCCGGCCCCTCAGAGGTTGTTCAAACAAAAAGTAGTCTTATTAATTAACAAAAATTTTGTAGATGCAAGCGAAAGTTGCAAATGGAATTTGGATGTTTTATTACAGATTTGAAGAATGGTTTTATGTATTTGTAGCTATTGATGAAAAATCTTTATGAAATATTTATTAAATTTTAATTTATCCATTGCTTATTACAATTACGAGTAAATTTGATCAATTTACTTACAATGAATGAAAATTCTACATGACATCCTTGCACGCCCTTCATTTTTGCATTGTGTATAATGATTTTGCTCTCTTAGCTACTTGATAATAATTATTTTTTATAAATTAATCATGATTAAATATTATCGTGATTAAAAAAAAAGAAAAGAAAAAAAAAAAGAATAAATTAAGTCGCATTATTTCGTTAAATCCCCTGTATAATTGCTATAATATATAATTATAGAGAAATTGAAAATTTTAAATAGCAATTTGAAAGTAGATAGAAAAATAAATAAACATTAATGTCAGAAAATTCGCTCAAATTACTCAGCTCGTAAAATAATGTTATTGGTAAAAAAGTTATATTGGTTGTGTTTCATTAGTTGAATATTTTTTATATCGTTGATATCCCATTTGTCCTCTCAATCAATCAATCAGATTAAGAAATTTCCTTATTTATTCATATATTATTTTGAGTAAAAGTCATAAATCGTGGATTATGTATTATAAGCAAATTCACACAATTATTGACTATTAATTAAAAACATTAATGTTTAGTTTGACTATAAAATATGAATCAAATTTTCTGCTTGAATCACTAACGAAGCTCCATACACATCAATCTTTCATAAATGCTTGAAATTACTACAATCCCCATTGCACGTAATATCAATTCAAACATTAATGTACAAAAATAAAATGATTATACAGTGTTTTAGTAGTAATTTCAATTGCGTTAGACAGCATTTGTAGGAGGGAAAAATTCACTTGTCATCGTTGCAAATACCATTATGATAAATGTGCTTCTTAAGACACAGATAAGAATTCACGTGAAAGTTAGAAACAATATGTCACTTCATAAATTGTCAGTCAGATAATATTTATTTTATTTATTGCTTTTCCAAAGAAATGCACGCGTAGAAAAATGAAGATTATCGAATACATAAAAGTGATGAGTTTAGCCATACTTTGACCTCTTTTTTCACGCAGAAAATTATTTTCTAAAAGATATGGAAACTACGTAATACATATATATAAAAGGCCTCGTTCACATATGGCATGGAATAGTCTGCAATCCTATCTAAGAAGGTGTTTTGTCTTAGCTCATCCGCTAACCGCGATGGGTTGTAAAATTCTACATAGTAAGCTATTTACTTGTGGTCTCCGCATCATTTTTGTACTTTGTACATTAGCTGCATGTAAGGTAATAATTTGTTTGAAAGACAGTATGTAGTAGGACTGTTGTGAATATCGCGCTAGTGAATAATTTAATTCGATATCTTGTATTTTCATTTTCATTTTCATTTTCATTACTATGTAGTTTTATGCAGTCGAGATAAATTCTTTTACAAGACAGTGTATTGTAATAAATGGCAATGAGACTAGCACCGAGAGTGACTAGTAGAGGGCGATAGATCTTGACTTTATTAAAATCTTACCTTTAAGCATTGAGATTTAAATTCTGAGATTGAAATTGCCGTTGATTAAAAATTATAATAAAAAGTACAAGAGGCTGAACGAGATTCTATCCCTAATATTTTATATTTTCAAATGTATTTTATATTTATTTTAAAATTTATCAAATTTTTTCTCGTATTTTCGTCATAAATTTTCCATATATCGTTATGCATATTCGATACAATCAATTAAATTCAATATTATCGTCAATGTTAAAATTGTTATATGCCACATTTCCCATTATACTAAAATTTCCAATGATTTTATTCAATTAATTACTTAATGCATATTTGCTTTAAAAAACAATTTTTTTCTCAATTTGAATTAATAATTTTAAGTTATACACTATAAAAAATAAAATGTGTGTGTGTGTGTATATATATATATATATATATATCATGGCTGCAATATGTAAAAGAAATTTAAAAAATAACTTTTTTTTTTTAACAGCCTACGAAATAATATTTCTTTACTCTCTAAAAATTGCTATTAATTAAATGACTGAAAAATAAACTGATGTTTAGTGGAATCGTGAAAAGCATGATAATAAGTGTACTTTAGATCTAGTAAGCAGAGTTAATAGAATTTTATTAAAATATTAAAAATTTCATGTAGATTTTAATTAACATAAAAATTATAGCGTTACATGCTCAAATCAGTTTCATGGAAATTCAAAATACAAATTTTCATTTAATTATTTTGCACATACATATTATTAATTTTAAACGTGGATTATCCATCATAAGATTTAATCTCATAATAAAATTATCGTTAACTTAAATATATCGACATCGTTATTTAGTCATTGAATTATTGTAATGTAATAATTGTTTTATAGGCCAATGAAAATAGTAATCATATTAGAAGGTTCATCAACAATAATGGCGTATTCGGAGAAATATCAAAAAGTTATTGCAATGGCGCCTGTGGACAAACGAAATTTTACTTTGCCAGTGTTCTGAAACGATATTGTCAATTGAAATGTCCAAATTCGACTATTGCGCTTCTTCCACTAAACTCCACACGTCCGCAACAAAATGTAGAAAATAATGGGAGCGTGACTCCAAATATGACGCAAGGTGGTCTAAATCCATCGAGCGGTGCTCCAAATGGTGTTGTTTCTTCAACTACTGCAAAACCTCCAACCAATGCAAATCCTCAAAGTACAGGAAACCCTGCAAATAGCATCAATCCTGCAAGTACAACCAAGACTCCAAATACATCTAATTCTCCAAACAACGTCAATCCTTCAAGTACACCGAAGTCTCCAAGTACAACTAATCCTCAAAATGCAACTAATCCTCCAAACAACATCGATCCTTCAAGCTCAATGACGTCTCCAAATGCAACTAATCCTCCAAATTTAACGAATTCTTCTTCAAATGGCGTCAGTCCTTCTGGTATCACAAATTCTCCATCTACTCCCAACGCCCAATCGTAAGAGCACATTCAACTAATACTAATTCTTCAAATTCTGGTAATCCATAAACAAATTGTAATTCTTTTATTAATTTTGGTTTTCCACGTATTAATCAATTCGCTTCTAAATCCATAATATCCAAGTATTATTGATTCATTAATCAATTCGATCCTTCCAACTCATTATAATTCTTTAACACTATAATTTTTTATAATCCCTAACTAATGTCCATAAAAGATTGTGAACACAAAAATATAAAATCTTGTCTGATAATTCTCTACACAACGTTACAGATCCATATTAAATTATTGGTTGGTAGTCGTTAAATTTAGTATGTCAGTGCCTTCTTCGATTTACTAAAAATTCAAAACAACAAACTTACTACCATATGAGTCTAAAATAATCATTTATACGTACATAATATGTGCAATGGCGAACTCCTTACAAAAATCAATTAAAATATGCATATCTTAATTTTTTATTTCGAGTTATTTTATGTAGATAATTGTATAAGATATAAAATTTTTAAACTAAAAATGTCAAAATTTTTAAATTGGTATTTATAAAAATGACTTTAAGTTTAAAAATTTTTTAACAATGTAGTTTCTTATAATTTTGTAATAGAGTAAAGGCGAAAATAAGTTTAAACAGCACATATTGTTTGTTTAAGATGCGCTTATAATTTTCTTATATTTATTTATGTTTATATAAATATTTTTATTTTTTGTAGTGTTAATCGAATACGAGTATTATATATTTTTTTTTTTTTCATCGATATGCTAATATTTTATTTTATTATTCAATTTATATAAAAATTGTATTGTTTTATAAACAATTAAAATAATAAACAATAAATAATACCAAACATTATGATTGACTTGTTTAGTTAAATTTTCTTTTTTTTTTTATACAACATTATTTTATTGAATTTTATGAGCAACGTAATTTTAAAGTAATTTAATTTGGATTAAAGAATAATGAAGTATATAATAAGAGTAAAATGATTATATTCTTGGTATCATTAATCGCACAAATTATTCATGCATTATAATGATATTATCGATATTTTGTACTATAAATTAAAATATATATGATTTTACCTACAAATAATTTTGATAAAAGCATAACATTACAACCACTTAAAGGGAAACTGTGAATTCTCTTGTATCGACACAAATCATTTTTCATTTACTCTAATGCACCTTAATACACATATGTTAGCCATAATGTTTGATTAATAATATGCGGAATAATATTTCATTGATAATGGTTCGAGATATTTTATTTGAGATAGACTCTAGTGCATTTTAAGTACGTTTTCAACAGTAAACTTACCACTAGAGGATAATTTTACTCTGTAATTTTATGGAGATCCACAATATTTTTCAACATTCTAGTCTTTATACATAAAATCAAAGTATTTGCGATAGTACAGATAGTCGTCATTCATAAATTATCATTCATTCGAATTGAAATGTTAGTGTTTCAAAATTTATTCATTTGAATTTATTTAGATATTATATTCATTTGTATTTATTTGTTATTTTACTTTGACGAAAGTGAACGGATATATTAATTAATCGTGTCATTAAATCACGTATTAATTCTATTTATCTCTATTCTGTTGTAATGGGAAAATCAGAAAATTGGACAATATTATAGATAAAATTATTGCGTAATTGGAATCGACAATATATATTATAAATCATACACGATCTAATTTAAAACAGACATGATCAATTTGATGCTTAAATATTATCAAATATTTCCGATATTTCCATCGTGTTGACATTTAAATCCCTCCCTTTAATTCCCATTAAGACTTAGTATTGCAAGTTTATACGATGATTTATTTATTTATTCGAAATGTTTGTAATATTCAATATAAATTATGAAAAACGATTTTCTGCTTTATGTATCTGAAACTTGAAATACAAATAAATTATTTATCGCCATTACAATGGGCCATTATGATAATTATCTCTGGAAATGAAAATCATTAAATGATTATTTTGCTCGCCATAAAAGTTTATCCATTACTGTTTGTATGGCTGAACAATTTTTAAATAAGAAATTTTTATAGGTCATAGAATGCGTTGCGTTGTCCTTTATGTATTTAAAAGTTACGTTAAAAAGTTGTATTTTCTTGTATTTACAATTAATAAGTAAAACAATAAGTTGATTAGTTATTGCTAAAATAGGCGAATAATGATTATCAACATCATTCCCCATGAATGAAGATTTTTCATATTATATTAATATTTTAAGTTTCCTCGTAATGATAATTAGTCATTACGAAACTTATTAAGCTATTATTTGATTCATTGACCTACTTAAATTATTAGAAAATTTGTTGTTAGAATTAGGTCATTTGGTCTTAGTTTACAATATTAGGATGAACAGTTTTTCATAAACAACCGAATTTACAATTACAACAGTTGACAAGCATTTATTTAGAATTTTGCATATTGTATTTCAGTGCATTATAACTTACATGAATTATGTCTGAATAATATAGACATTTGCATTTAAGGTTAATATTATACAATATCATGACCATAAATAAAAATATTATTTTATACGTATTAATACACAGTCGTAGATGGGGAAGTTATTTCTTTTATTATGATTATAATATCTTTATGAATGTTGTTATTTGTTAATAGCAACAAACGATTAAAAGTTCAAATGCAAGTAGAGTTTACTCATTGTAAACAAAAACTTTTGCTTCCGCGGTAACTTCTAAATTCATGGGAGTTTTGCAACCCTTACACGTCCCGTTATTTATGCGAAATATACTCACGAAATACGTATGCATTCCACTTGCTTCCGGCTTGTTTCGTGGTCAGGCTTTTGTAAGGGCTTAAGGTAGGTAAACCTGCGCGTCAAAAGGTGTTTTCTGAGTCGTTGATGGGCTTGAGGCTCCGGGTAGGAGTAGGCTAATAAATTCTCGGGGATGTAAAGCGAAAAGAAGTTGGCCAATTAAATACGATAAAATTAAATTATTCATTTGATTTACCATGTTTTGTATAAAAATTATCTTTGAAGGTGTTGAGATGAAATATTATGTGATTCGTATATCGTTTATCAAATGACAATTTGTGCTCGAGAGATATATTTTATGTATACGTAATGCGTGGATCAAATGAATGCGAGAAAAAGAGAAATGTGGTCCGAAAAAAAGGCTATCGAGCATACATAAACCAAATCCAAATGAATATCGATATAACGGAAGAGCCTTTCCATCTTACACTTCTTTAGTTAAACGATGCATTCCATTTATTAAATTTTTGCATTAATACGTTAATTTATATACACTTTTGCGAAACAATGCCGTTAAAATATTTTATCTTTAATTGGATAATTATAATATTTCTTACGACCCTCTAACGCAGTATTTTGTATATTAGGGAAAGCGGGGCAAAAAAATCTCATAGTTAATTTAACTTCCTCGTTCATATATCCTGTTTAATGCTTAAAGAAGTTAATAATTTAAAGTCATTAAGTAATTATTGTTGTTAATTTGAGAAAAGCATGAAGTCATAATGTCAATTATATAATATTTAATGTGAAATAAATGCAAAGAAAAATTCAGCTCCAAAATAATATTGCTATTGTTACTAATGAACTGAAATAATAATCTTTCCATTATAGACATTATGGGAATTATATTCTTTCATGCTAAATTTCTATTTGTAATGTAAAAATGAGTTTTACAAGATAAACATATGCCGATCTTGTGCACCTCAAGTGGATAAAATTTTTATAATAATTTTTTCCAACATTATCCTAATTCTTGAAACTGGCACATTGAAATTCCATTAAATTGCATTATTTAATATAGCTTATTGTCCTCTATTGTCATCAATTTTTTAAAATCTCGAGCATAATATTATTAAACTAGTCGATGCTGTCTCAACATAAGCGCTACACAAACGATTGCGAAAGTACGTTTGACAACACAAGCAAAAGAGGTATAGAGGATACGCGCGGACTCTTGGCGGCGATAAGTCCGCTGTTAAATGGCTTGCGAGATTGGCGAGTGCGCCAAGGTAATAAATAATAATGGAAAAAAGAAAGCACGAGTTTATGAAGGATGATAGAGTTGGTAGTGGCTGTCTTCCTGGTACGAATTCGCGTAGTGGTGGGCGGTGTTGGGATGGGGCTCTCGGCTTTTAATAAAATTCAATCGAGAGCTCGCAAGCGGCGGGAGCAAAAATAAAGGCAATGCCAAGCGAAATCCATTATCGGCGATTTAATTGACAAGCGGTGGGCCTCATTAATTTCGCAATGGCAAAGAAAATGAGTTGCAGCGCGTCCGAACGTCTGGTGACAAGGAATGAATCCTGTCTGTCTGTAGTAAGGGGACACTCCCACCGCGCGATATCCTCTGCCTCCGCTCGTTCCTCCTCTTGTCTCGCCCGTTTCATTCTTCCCTTTTTTATTTTCTCTGATGCTGCTGCTTCCCCCCCCCCCCCCCCGGCAGCCGCGCAGGCGTTCAATGGTCAATCGGAGAAAAGCGATGGGGCCCACCGTGAATATCCTCGCGAGCTTATTAGCCCGCGGGGCCTCGGCATTAGGTAATGTCCTCGCTTGGGCCATTCGGTTCTTGAAAAACTGGGTCGGCGGGCCGCGCTTTTACTCGCGTTTCCCTCGCTCCCCTTCCCTTCCATTTCCAGGACGTCCTTTGTGAGCCGAGAGTAGAGTGCTCGTTTCTTCCTTTTTTTCTTATTTTTCTCCTTCCTCCTCCTCTTCTTCTTCTTTTTTTTTAATGTTTCTTTTTCTGGCTTGGCGTCGTAAAAACAAAAAAAAAAAACCCTCCTCCTCCATCTTTTTTCCTCTGCGCTCTCTCCAATACCGACTGGCCCATCCCTCGAAATTCCTCGAGCCACTACAGCCACTCGGTTTTCGCGCACTTTGGATAAGAAACGCGTTATCGCGTAAGCCTCGCGTCAATCATGATCGCGAAACACATCGAGACGGGAAAATGCTAAGGGAACGTGAAATCGCACTTTTCATGT